AATAACATCAAAATTATTTTGAAACGTTGCGTAACAATTTTAAGTGGTGAGTCGAAGTTTAAGGGTTAAAAGGGATAAAAATAGTGCATAGACCAATTGTTGAACGAATTATTGAAATGAGAAATAACGTAAATGGGAATTAATAAATATATCACACTAATTAACAATGCAATAATTTTACCGATTACGTATTTATTATACTATAAAATAAAATCAAAGAAGCACAAACAAATAGAAGAACCGGAAACAGTTAAATTTCATATAAATAGTTCATATGCCATACTAGAAATTCACCTAACATTTCACCTTTCAGAGGCTGAGTCGATCTTCCAACGAACAATTTAAAGAATCCGTGGAGAAACGTTTTCAGAAATATTTTACGAGAACAGTTTATCGCATTCGCGGCCTAAATTCTTGCTCGCGAACTTTTCTTTTCTGCACCGACGATTGTTAGACAATTATTTATCGCGGCGCACGCATTTGCCCGAGAGATAAACTGTAACATTAACGGGAATTTTTCCAAGAAATTTTTCAGAAAGTGGTTCCCGGCAGCGGCGCTCTGACTTTGATGAATTTACGAAGCTCTGAATTCATAATTGATGACCGGCCGAAGGAAAATGTTAAAGCGCTCTAACGTAAAACCTCATTTCTTGCCGCTTGGTAAGACTTTGAAATATTATACTACAATACGCGTTGCGAGATTATGCAAAGAGCATAGTAAACAAAAAGTTGGCGTTCCGCGCGACCCCGGTTTCCGCGAACGTTATAATTTCTATGCTATGGAATCAAGTTGGCCGATTATGGTATGTCGATGAAACGATCGAATATCCGATGTTAACAACATATATATTAATATAATATATTATATATTATATGATATCATATATCATATATCATACTGATGATATTTGAAAATTCGAAAGTACATCGTTGACTCGAATTAATATTAATAAATTTTATTTATTATTATTATTATTATTATTATTATTATCATTATTAAATTATATTAATATAATATAATATAATATAATATAATATAATATAATATAATATAATATAATATAATATAATATAATATATAATATATTATAAT